AGAACAATTCTCTGAAACCCTATGACCCCTATTGATTTTCAGATCACAGAAGTTGAAAGGATAATTTGTGAATGTTTTAACATTTACATCTAAACAGGTACCTATATTTATAGAATTTTTGATTACTTATAAAAGTATTTGCTGCATTATTATCATAACTCAGAAAGAAAACTTGACCTTTAGCAGCTGAATTTAATATATTAAAGGAGATCCTATTTTTAAAAAACAAGTTTACATTTTTACCTGCCAGTGGCAGAAATCTCTAAGGATAACATAGTTTTCTTCCCCACAAGTAATAAACGAGAAGTGATACCTGAATGCTCTGCAGTTTTGAAGGCAATAAATGAAGTAACTAAGAAAATCTTGTGTGTCCACTAAATCCGAGAACCATGGAGTGCAATAGTTCCAAGCAGGGTCATCTCAGATGTTAAGATGCTATCTGGAATTTCAGCTACCCTTGTGACGGAGAGTGGTTTTCCTGTCCACACACATGCTATATTTCACATACACCAAATACTTTGCACCTACAACTCATATTGCCTTCTCAGAGCATGAACAGATAATCATTTAGCATCAGGCCTTAATGGGAAACTGTTTGGAGGAGTAGTGGTAAACAAAGCAACTGTAAGAATTATTCAGTGCACCCTAGGCTAGAGCTGTGCTGAGGCAGGATATGTCTGCAGCATCCAGCAAGTATGATAATATCACAAGGCGTGAGTTTTCCACCACAGGGAATTCCCAAGTCTGCAACCTTGCTGTGAAAACATCTAAGGGAGTTTTTGTTTGACCATTCTACAATCACGATTTCAACATTTAAAAAAATAATAATGCTGGTCTACTCAGGAGAAAAAGGAAACCAAGTATTGGCTCTGTGTGTGCATGTGTTGATGTATGTGTTTTTCCTTTAAAGTTCTAGGATAAAGACCTGCATCATCCACCAACTGATCCCCAAGTTTAAGATGTTTCTACCTAAATGACTAAAATTGATACAGCTTATCAATATGCTTTCACTGATGATGTAAGAGAACTATTTGTCACAACCACAGCAATGATGAAAAGAAACAATGAAACAAAAGCCTCAGGTGCTACTGGTTCTCATTTTTAGATAAGAATGAGATTGAGAATGAGGAAGCAAAAAAGAGGAGCAGCTAAATTTATGGTGTACATTATACTTCAAACGGATTATGCTTGTCTACATCTACTGCAACACACTGGACTGAAATGGTTAGGCAATTAATGATGCAAGGTGATTTTTAAAAAAATATTCAGTCACTTCAAGTACTTAGATAATTTAGGCAAAAATATTTTTACCCAAATTATTTGCATGATTGTCTCAATTCTCAAAAAAAATTGTTGGCGTAGATTTGGCTTATGAAGTCTCATCTAAGAAATCTCACATTCCTTCCCAGGACCCAAATTCCATCGGCACTGATGCCAATCATTTTAAGATTCCTTCCCTCTATTTCTATTCTGACAAGCAGACCAACTATGAGTTCTCATAATTATTTCCTTTATTCCAAATTTTCTCTTAATCAAATCTGTCTTATTTGATATTTCAGTTCTATCTTTTGTCCCTTCTCTCCTTAAATCCCATCTGCTTGAGCCTTAGTTAGCTAAGGCAGGTAGCATGTACCAGTTATGCCAATTAAAGTACAGAAGTTGTTCCGTAGCAGAGTGAAGGAAACATTCTGAAGCCCCAAACTTCTTATTTTTCCAGGCAAAGCCTAATTTAAAGCTGCATCCGCCAAGGTTTCTATGACAAGCTAACAACTAGACATGAGTTTATATTTTCACTTACATATTGTGTATTTCAATACATATGTTGCTGCCAATAATTATGACTGATCTACACCCAACCTGCCCTTCAGCATTTTATTAAATCTCTTCAACAGTGACTCATAGTTCATACAAAAATGTACGTGTGTGTTAACAAGTTTTAAGAAATCCAAGAGGAAGACACAAATTTTTTTAAGCTGTGGCAAAATAAAATGAAGGTAGTATACTAAAATCCTGATGACAATTTTGTTCTTAATGATTGTTTTTAGAAGAAAATAATGGGAGCTGAAGGTAGGTACAAGAAAAAAAATAAGAAAGGAGGAGGGGTGTCCGTCATTGTGGCGCAGCAGGTTAAAGCCCCGGCAGCACCGGGATCCTGCTCCACTTCCCATCCAGCTGTCTGCTAACGCACCTTGGAAAGCAGCAGAGGATGACCCAAGTCCTTGGGCCCCTGCACCCACGTGGGAGACCTGGAGGAAGCTCCTGGCTCCTGGCTTCAGATCAGCTCAGCTACAGCCATTGCGGCCATTTGGGGGTGAACCAGCATACGGAAGACCTCTCTCTGTGTGTCTCTACCTCTCTCTGTAACTCTGTCTTTCAAATAAATAAAATAAATCTTTTTTAAAAAGAAAAGAAAAAAATGTTTACAGGCTCTCTAAAAAACTTCTTGCAATTTTTTATGACAACAAAGTAAAAAAAAAAAAACACTTCACAGTTACTATATGTTCAAATATCGCAGTTTTAAGATCCCCTGGCATCTTTGGTTTCAAAATGGTACCATATGGGTTTCCCCATTTTTGCATCATATTTCCTACTCAAAGCCCAAAGAAAAATAAATCCATTATCAGCTCCTTTAAAAAAGAAGATTTGGATGAAGATTAATTAAGCATTAAAAACTCAAAGCAAACATGAGAGTGTCACTAATCATCAGACTTAAGAAAAAACACCTTTGTTACATCTTTTAGCTACTGAGGGACAATTCTATATGGCAAGTTGCTAAGAGTTGAAATGACTGCCAATTGCAAAGCCATGAGCCACAAGCAAAAGTCACTTCTGACTCCAAACAGTTCAGGGAGAGAGAACACACACACTATGCAAAGTGCCAGTCAAGCACAGAATCATGTTTATTTCCCAGATAATTAAGTCAATGTGGTTTGTAAGTAACTGGAAAGAGCTGAATATCAGCGTAAACTTTAGGATGGAGTCTGCATATGCTTTAAACAATTATTTTACAGTGCTTATTACAACTTTGGAAAAAATGTCCTTTCTTCTTCCTAAATATAACACTTAGGACATCAAATTGATGTCTTAAACTGATTAATAACCACTGTGCTCCGGCTAAGGTTGTGCATGGAATCCAGGAAAATGACCACGTGTATGCATCAGGTAATGTCACAGAAACACCTTTCTGAACCTACATTCACAGGAAATACCACATAAGGTCATCCACTCACAGGAAGTAACTTGTCTTGGAACTTGTACTCTGGTAACTATGTTTATGAATGGAGTTTGTTAGCAACATTGAGGAGGAAGGGAGATGGCATGGATGATAGATCACCTGAAGGCAGCTCTCCAGTGTTCCTTCATTAGAGAGCTCACCCTGCCACTCCTTTTCCCTCAGATGGGAACATTTTTCCAGGGAAATGCAACCTTCTTACAACCTCCATTGTATTAAAACTGCCTCATCATCAGCTTAAGTTTCAAACATGTGACTTCAGGTCTGCATGCAAAATTGGTAGTCTCCACCATAACATGGTCCAGAACCTTTGAAAGACTAACTTCAAATTTGCAGTCTGAACAGTCTTGAAAAGGAAGACACAAAAGCAGGTTAAAATGGGCAAACAAGAAGCCTCAGCAGGGACACAGCTCCCGGTCACACCTTTAGAAGAAGTGTGTCTTTGCTTCCCCATCCACTGACTAAAAGGGCTACAAAAATTGATCTCTCAAGGCTGCGGTAAGGTCGTAGAAATTGATAACCCTTACAAGCAATGCTTGTGTGAGTCTGTCTGTGTCTTGCAGATAGTGCACTTTGTAAATTAATCCTCCAAAGGCAAATATATTGTAAGTAGCTTGTTATCTCTAAAATACTAAATTGAAGAATACATGGGATTATATTGACAGAAATTACATTTTCTGTAATGGGGTTTAATATATCTGAAATCTCTCGCAAAGGCTCCCAGGCTCTCTAACAGAGAAGGGTCTGTTAATAAAGGTGCAATGGACATCAAGAACAAATTTATTCCCCAAAATGGATTAGGCCATGTAATCAGAGATTCTGTAATATTAATCTTTGACACTTATTGAACAGAAAAAAATACTTTTGTCTGCAAACTGGCATTCCCAGTTCTCCCCTTTCCCCAACCAGGCTTTAGGCCTTTTCTGGATTTTACTTCAAAGAGGATAAGGTTTCTCCATCATAAACACTAATCTAAAAATATTGGGACAATTAATTAGATACACTTAGTTTTAGAGGCTATTGGATTTCGATACCCTTCAAATATGACACTAGTCCTGGGTGAGTCTATGAAACCTAGCTTTCAGCACATTCACAAAGGGTAATAAATCACATTTTCTCAAAGCCTCATTGCCACACTGCTGTACGTTAGGTCAGAATTCCATCGGCTGGTACTTGGTGCATAATCTCAGCTTCGCCCCAAATCAGGAATTTATACGTTATTTGGAAACAGTATTGCACAGCGCTGAGATACATCAGGTTTTGAATAGCCTCCAAGTGGAAATAATTTCTCCCTTTTAATAATTGAGAGATATGAGAAAAGGGGAGACTATCTTAGAATGCAAAATCCTAACAAAATTGAAGTGAATTTAGTTATTCAATGAATTTAAAACTGACTGATAGGAGGTAGTGGATTATTTTCTTTTTCATGGAAAATAGGATGATACCACTCTATCGATTATCCCGAAGAGGGAAAAAAAAGTCAAAGAGAGTGTCCATTTACAGAGCCACAAGAAATGTGAATTAAACACATACTTAGACTATGCATCAAATCCGTCAACTCAGAGAGGAGATGGAAGCCAATGGATGTTTTGCCTCCCAAGCTATGTAGTGTTCTCACTGTCAGTCAACAGTTTGTTTTCACCTTTGGATCAACAAGCCACCAGGGAAAGCTGCAGCAACTGGGTGTGTCTTCTTAATGCAAAACAGGAGCTGGAAGTTGCCAGAGGGGGAGACAGATTGTGTGCAAACACAAAGCCAAATTACTTACCAATTGTTCACTTGAAGGATGGTGAGTCCTGTGTCTTGTGCCAACTGCTTTTTCTGTTCTTCAGAGGGGTAAGGGTGCTAAAAGAGAACAAAAATGACACCCATGCATCAGGCAATATTTAGGGCATTTTGTCAATAGCCTAAGTGTCTACTGAAGTCTGTAATTAAAGGTAAAAATGCTGAGGTGTGTCACTCTTATTAATGGAATACTACATCATCTAATTAATGGCAGTAAAAGACAAGCCAATTACAAAGATTAGTGAAGTGTATAAATAGCTACTTAGGATACTTGCAGAACCTTGATACTGAGTTTGTCCATTAACAGGTTTATTTGTTGCAAACACAGAAAGTTTAGTGTGATCTTTGCTGAATTTTATAGAAATAACCTAAGGACAAGCCATTCTGTTTCCATCCAGAAGCACCACTCTGATTTAATATTTTCATTAGATCATGGACTTCTACAGCTGAACCATCATGAACAATAATCAGTTGAACTTTGAAGTAGCTGTGTGACACGCCCTCTCCAAAACACAATATGGCTGGACGCAAATATTAAAATTAAAGTGGGTATATGTTTTAACCACTATTCATTTTGGTTCTTCAGCAAAGCACAAATAAACAAAACATAACCCAAGTTGGTTTCTTGTCTGGAAGTCCACACATGCTGGGATTCTGAACACAAGCCAATATAAGGTCAAAGGCCAGCATATTTTGCATGCTAAGAACAAGCCCAGCTATGTTCCTCATGAGTTTGAATGGCTAAGAAGCATTATAGGCTTAGATAATAAAATTTAACCCATACCTTCTATAAGGATGTTTGGAATTCTACTGAAATTAATTTTGGCATGAACACTTTTGGTTCAATAACCAAGTATATTTAAATTTGAAATACATAGTTATAAAGCCTGAGAGAGAAGCTGAGGAATAGTTCCAATCTGTGGAGACACAAACTGGCTTAAAGGTGCTGCATCCCAGTAAATTCTCCCAAGGAAAAAAAATTGTTCTAAGGGTCAACCTTCCATTCTACTATGAAAGGGAAAGGGCACCCCAAGCCTCAATTTAACTATCTGTACCATCAAAACTAAATTCTAGTCTATTGAATACTAATTAACATAGCTTTTAATCTCATTAATAATGTCTGATTAGATGCTAAAAAGCCTTGTTAATGACCACTTCAATGCTCTTATATGTAAGTTTAAATATGTTCTGTAGCTATACACTTGGGATTCGTTCGTGGAGAGCAGAGATAGAGCAATTTTTCCCATAAGCATTGTCTTTGATTGTCACTTAATCAATAAATACACAATTAGAATAAGGCTTTGCTTTCATGGAATATAGTGCCCTTCTCTAAAGAGCTTCAAGTATATTACAGACAGGATGGTAATTAATCCCCATTATATCCTTTGGAGTGACATAAATGGGATCTATCATCACTCTTGTTTTACAGGTGAGGAAACTGGCCCGGAGAAGGGATGGCCAGCAGCAGACATGGGTCAGTGATATTTCCTGCTTCCCTGCCAGTGTCCAGGCCTCACTGTGACTGAAGGATGAGCCAATGCCTTTCAGAATCTCCATCAGTGTCTTCTGTTCAAAAACCTCCAGAGTGCTCACTGTGGCCTGCAAGGCCCACCAATATCCAGTTCTGGCCATCTCTCAGATTTTGCTGCCTTCTTCTTTCCCCAGTCACACTCTCTTTGCCCCAGCCACTCCATCCTCCTCTGTTTTTCCAGAGAGAGATACACCACCCTTCTTCCTATGGCTCAGGTTCCTCTCCTGAGGAACCTTTCTCTTTCAGGTCTCAGCTCAAATGCCAAACTTTACTCTCTCCCCTCACCACTATCCTACCTTCTCATTCTCAATTCCTGCTTCTCTTAACTTCCTTAATAGCAAGCAGCACTCTCTGAAACACCTGCTTTAATTATTTGTTGCCTTGTTGATGTGTCTCTTCCCATTTATCTACCAACTCTAAACTGCTTGCCTTTCGTATTCACCATCCTGAAAGCTCAGTTGAGCGCCTAACAGGAAATCAGTAAATATATGTGGAACAAAGGAATGACTATAACTAATCATGATACAGATACTCTCTACTCAGATTGAAGTCTAAATGTAAAACCAGTTCTTTTCAAAGCCCATGGAAGTATAAACAACCCAACTTGAGAGCCACTACTTTTCTTTGCTCCATTCCTAAAAGTGATGTTGACCCACTCTTCAAATAAAGGAATATGAACCTTACAAAATACTGAAAACATAGGAGACAGTGACCCTATTCAACATAACCACCACCCACTTTAGCCAAAATCCCATGAATGGATACTAAGCTAAAAACAACATATTACTCTAAGGATGAAAACATAACTCTCAGTGTACAAAAGTTTGCCACACAATACAACAAAATGGATCTATTATCCTATGAATAACAGGATATTGTTATAATATAAGATATATATTATTATATGAGTTATGGTTCAATATATAAGAGTTCTATGTCTACACTCATTGAATAACTGCAAATTACATATATGCCTCTGTTAGATCGTATAAGTCACTCACTATCTATGTGCCTGTTAGATCGTATAAGTCACTCACTATCTATGTGCCTTTTTTTTTTTTTTTGACAGGCAGAGTGGACAGTGAGAGAGAGACAGAGACAGAGGTCTTCCTTTGCCGTTGGTTCACCCTCCAATGGCCGCCGCGGCCGGCGCACTGCGCTGATCTGATGGCAGGAGCCAGGTGCTTCTTCTGGTCTCCCATGGGGTGCAGGGCCCAAGGACTTGGGCCATCCTCCACTGCACTCCCTGGCCACAGCAGAGAGCTGGCCTGGAAGAGGGGCAACCGGGACAGAATCCAGCGCCCCGACCAGGACTAGAACCCGGTGTGCTGGCGCTGCAAGGTGGAAGATTAGCCTAGTGAGCCGCGGTGCCGGCCCTTTATGTGCCTTTGAAAAGTTTTCTAATCCTCAGTTTTTTCATCCAGAGTTCTAAGACCCATTGAAGTTAAAAGTTACTCATGCTGGCAATTATCCAGCTAGAATGTAAGTTGAATTTGCAAGTATGTAAGTTTTAACATCCATCTGTTGACACTATTTGCCATATATAGTTATAGACTGGTGTACACAGCAATTTCTGATATATAAAGTTTTCTATAATACTATTTCCTTACAGTTTTTCTGAGGAAACCTCTTTCAGTGACTTCCAACAGAACTAATAAATATGCCACTGTCCTTCTACAATATAGCTGAAAGGCAACACCTTTTACCCGCTATTATAACTTGTGTCTTAATGGTATGATCAGAACTGGATAAAAATTAATATTTATGTCACTTATCTTTAGTTACTTTGAAAATTGAGGATTGTCACAGTAATTTATTGGCCCACTATTTCCGAGAGTATTTCTGCATGCCTGTTTGTGAGCAACTTTTACATTCTTTTAATGCAAATGGAGTTCACATTTTATTCATGCAAGTGGTGACAGCAAAATTCTCTTTGAATCATTAAAATTACCTGAATCATTACAGCTTCAAGTAGTAGTAACAGAGCACTCGTAATTTCAATGCAAACTTTGGTTGTTTCTTCCCCTTATGTAGTTTCTGATTTCATAATTTAAATATCATAAAATGAGAAAGGCCTAAGCTTTTTTTCCCCTCTGTCACTTTTCATGTGATCTGATTTTAAGTAATTGGAACAAACTGTGTCTAATTTCATGCAGCATAATTGCTAGGCAGCCTCAAGCTATAGAGACCCAGCACTCTGTCTCCATTAAGCAATTTTCAGTTGTTCAGGATATACGTTTTTTAGACACCAATGAATGAGACTGGACAAAACTAGGTGTCACAATAATCTGGCCATTGTTAAGAGGGAGAAAAGGTCGCAGCAATATTTCTAAACCCTCTTCAACGCTAGGCCAACTGAATATTTTTCTTTTTTTCATCTTCTTGGCCTTGGTGTCCCACAAACTTTCAATCTCCTGGAAAAAAAAATCCATAATTGCTAGAACCACATGAAAGCCATGACTTCATGTAGCTAATCCACAGTCAGCCAAAAATTCACAAAAAAGCTAGGCTTTTAAACTGAAACCCAATATGTTTAAATATCTCAAATCCTATGCATCTGTACTAGATAAGCTATTTGTGGACAGTCTGAGTTGTTTGCTTTTCTTTTCTTTTTTTTTTTTTTTGGTGGACTTGAGAAAAATGACTTTACAAAAACCCAACATGCTACATGCAAGGCTGATGAAAAACCCTCCAAAGTCCTGTTGTCTTCCACCCACAAAGCCGGCCAGGTCACACAACAGACAGAGGCAGACATCATTTTACAAAAGAGATTAAGGTGGCCCGGCTTTGTGGCGTAGTGGGTAAAGCCACTGCCTGCAGTGCAGGCATCCCATATGGGTGCCGGCTCGAGTCTCAGCTGCTCCACTTCCAATCCAGCTTTCTTCTATGGCCTGGGAAAGCAATGGAAGATGGCCTAGACCCTTGGGCCCCTGCACATGTGTGGGAGACCTGGAAGAAGCTCCTGGCTCCTGGCTTTGGATCAGCCCAGCTCCAGCCATTGCAGCCATTTGGGGAGTGAAGCAGTGAATGGAGAACCTCTCTCTCTCGCTTGCTCTCTCTATCTCTCTCTAAGATATATTTATTTATTTGAAAGGCAGACTTATAGAGAGGCGGGGGGGGGGGGGGAGAGAGTAATCCCTGAGAAGTGCCATTTTTAGGGAGACTATGGGACATTCTTTCCACACCATTGCAACTAAGGGCCTGCACCACACCTTCGCTATTCTTGCATCTAAATAACAAGGACTCTAGTTTAAGAAAAATCAGTAGGTTCTCATGAAAGAAAGACGGAGTGCATTTGCCAGATATACCAATCAACCTAATCACTTTGGGATATCAAAGCAAATTTGACCACAGTCCAATAGACAGAGAGGGAGACCTTGCCTTTGTTGTATACATTAGCCTCATGCCATTATCTCTTAAAAGCTTAATTATTTGCAAACAATTGATCAAGTTGGGAATTTGAGAAAGGATATGCAAGGACCACTGGGAGAACTGCAAGGCATTAAGAGAGCAAACAAAATTACCTTTA